GATGGTTCTTGAGATTCAGATCATATATCGCACCTCAGTTGTGCTTGAGTTTTGTAGCTTATGGCGCTATATGTCTCTCCAGGGTTTGTATTATGCACTTAACGTGCTTGTGACCGATATTCGGTATTTTGTTATAATGAGAAATTTAGCTCGATGTGTATCTCCTTATGTGTGGATTGGGTGGCACGCCTCCACGGGTATGTTATTTGGATCGGGTTGCACGCCCCAACAGTGTGATGTTGAATACAACTTTCTATATTCTATTTTTGTGTGTCTTGTTTCCCATTTTCTGAGAAAAGTTCATATTAGTGTGTGAGTTGAGTTAGTCTCGTCCAGAGTTCATTTTCCTTATATATGACGTTCGCGTTCATAGCCTATTAGCACATTGTGGCATCATATGAGACTTTTGATCATGTTCGGGGTGGCTTATTGCCTGATCAGTTCGTATTGGGTGAGACGAGATCATTGGATTTAGGATCAGTGCAATCTGATTATATGAAGTATATTAAGGAGAAAAGACCATTATTTGGTTCATAATGAGGTGATGGTTCTTGTCAGTAGTATAGACCCAATAATTTTTTGATTCGGCAGTTGGTCATGAATTTCTACACGTCTCTTCCATTGTGGTGGTATTATAAGAGTTAGAGCAAGACCTATGTATGTATGTCATGGAGTGCGTTGGGAGCATCAGATTCATGGAATTTTGACTATTATAATCAGAGAAAGTTATTGTGGTCCTGTAAATAAAGTGGTACTAGGTGTGAATTCAGCAAAGCTATGCAGTCACGTTCTGGTACATCGTGTGGTGATTAATACGGTGATCATATGTTGGAAACAAGACTGACAGAGAATTTTGAATGTCGGAACTGAGCTCTAACGCTTATTTGCCTAAATGAAAGAGAATATCTTCATATTTTGCTCGAGCTAATGTGCTCAATTGAGTCGTGGTAGTACGGGTAGGTGCTCGAGGTGTTAAAGAGTGATTTCGGACAACTCCAACACAGTTCTAAGCACATTCGAGGACGAACGTATGTTTAAGTGGGAGAGAATGTAACGACCCAATAGGTCATTTTGAGCTCTAGCGCGTCATTCAGCAGTTTAGGGCCATGAGATGCTTAACTTCAGGTATTATGACTTGTACGTGTGGTTAGAATTGAATTCTGGGAAGTTCGTAGTTGATTTGGAAAGAGAATTCCCATTTCGAAAGCTTTAAGTTGAAAGAATTGACTAAGAATGGATTTTTGAGTAAATGATCTCGGAATCGGGATTCGAAGGTTCCAACAAGTTCGTATGATAATTTCAGACTTGGACGTATGTCCGAATAGGGTTTTGAAAGACCCGAGAATGTTTCGGCACCTATTATGGAAGTTGTCATTTTTGAAAGAATTTCATAAGTTTGGGTTGAAGTGCGTTTCAGTGTTATCGATGTCCGTTTGGGATTCTGAGTCTGGGAATAGATCCGTATGGCGATTCTGGTGTTGGGAGCGCGATCGGAAGTGAATTCGGAGGTCTGTGAATCATTTTGGAATCATTTGGCTAAAGATAGAAATTTGAAGGTTTTTAAAGAGTTTGACCGGAAGTGGACTTTTTGATATCAGGGTCGGATTCTGATTCCAGAAGTTGGAGTAGTTCCGTAATGTCGAATATGACTTGTGTGCAAAATTTGAGGTCAGTCAGACGTGATTTGTTAGATTTCGACATTGAAAATAGAATTTTGAAATTTTAAAGTTCATTAAGCTTGGATTGGAGTGCGATTCATGGTTTTAGCGCTGTTTGATGTGATTTGAGGCCTCGAGCAGGTCCGTGTTATGTTGTGGGACTTGTTGGTATGTTTGGATTGGGTCCCGAGGGCCTCAGGTGTTTTTCGGGGTGGTTTCGGATCATTTTGGGTTGTTTTGCAATAGCTGTTACTGGTGTCTGGTGCTATTCTTCGCGTTCGCGAGGATCCTCTCGCGTTCACGAAGAAGGATTTGGCTTCAGGGACTTTGTTCTTCGAGTTCGCGAAGAGATCCTCGTGTTCGCGAAAAAGGAAATCTCTGTTGTACACGTCTGATTTCAGAGGCTCATATCTTGCAATTTATAAGAAATTTGGAGATGATCCAAAACTAAAAGTTGTAGTCCTTTGTGTCTAATTTTCAGAAAGGTAAACTATTTAGCATTTGGATTTGTTCATAAAATATTATGGCTGGTATACTACAGGCTGTCCAGGAAGATAAAAAAAGAATTTGTGTTGCACAGGACTGACTTTGGAAACTTATATCTCAAAATCTATAAGGAATTGGGAGATGACCAACACACAAAAGTTGTAGATATTGGTGTCTAGTTTTCAAAACATTAAACCATTTGTCATTTGGGGTTTTGTACAAATAGATATGGCCATTATACTAGATATTATCTGAGAAGAGTTTGAAAAATGGTTTTTGGGAATTTTCTTCTTCGTGAACGTGATGGGGGTCTCGCGAATGCAAAGAAGAGTCGTCTGGGCAGTGTATACGTGTAAATAAATGGGTTTGGCTCATTTCATTTCATTTCCTCCATGGGAGCCGACCTAGGAGCGATTTTGGAGCTCCATTTTCATCATCTATGTCAAGGTAAGTGATTCCCACCTATTGCAAGTTAATTACTTGGATTATATCTAGATTTTAACATGGAAAATCATGTAAATTAGTAGAAATTTTAGGACTTTGAAGAAAACCTAGGAAATTTGTATTCTTGAATTTTGACCATGATTTTGGACATGAAATTGAGAGCAAATTATATATTTGAGTTCGTGAGGTTGTGGGTAAACTTTATCTTCAAAAAATTTCAGAATCTGAGCACGTGGGCCCGAGGGCGATTTTGTCAACTTTTTGATCAGGGTTAGAAATTGTTATATTTTGAGTTATTATGAGTAATTGAACATATGCTAATAGGTTTACATAATTGTTGGCTAGTTTTGGAGCATTGTGCATCGATTTGAGTCTTCGGAAGGGCGTGGAATGCCGGTTTTAGATCTTCGGAGTGAGGTAAGTCTCCTTTGTAACCTTGTAAGAGGGAATTAACCCCATAGGTGAATAAAATTATTATGTGCTTCTAATTGTGGGGGCTACGTATGCACGAGGTGACGAGAGTCCGTAAGTAACTACTAATTATGCCTATGTCCGGGTAGTTTTAGGCGCACTTCATGCCTTGTTGATATTATTATTGATTTATGTTTATTATTTTCCTTGAGAAGGAGTGAGATTGAGAATGCTTATTAAATACTTTTGAAAGGATTTGAAATTGTTCTAAAGATGGGGAACTTGAAAGTCTTCATTGAAATCTCATATTTTGAAAAGAATGGAAGAATGCTTTAATAACTTGAGAAAATCTATATTTTTACCGCGTCGCATATATGATTCGCGAGCGGGGTAATAGATGCATCTATGGTTCGTGCCGTTCGACCCTCGACAATGCACAATTTATATTTATGTTGGATCGGGCCAAACATCCTCGGTGGCATATATATATTCTAATAGTACTGTAAATCCTTTTATTAACTAGTGTAAATTTACTATTTGGTGAATATTGGTTTAAAAGAAGAAAGTGGGTTAAGCTCTTAAATATGGTGAAGACTCGCTCAATTATTTCTTGTTCTGAATGTTATTGTTGTAAATCATGCTTAGTTAGAATTTTTATATTACCATATTGTTGGCCCTTAGTAAGTGTCGAAGTCGACCCGTCGTCACTACTTCTTTGAGGTTAGACAGGATACTTACTGGGTACATGTTATTTTCATACTCATACTAAACTTGTTGTGCATTTTTATTGCACAGGCACATGTATGTCTAGTGGCCTAGTTGGGCGCAGAGACATGGTTGATACGGAGACTTAGGTGAGCTGCACCTCTCGAGATGACCCGCAGCCAGCAGAGTTTCCTTTAGAGTATTGTACTATATTTTCTTTTCTGTCCAATTTGTATTTCGGACAGTTGTTGTATTATATTATTTCCTACAAATTACTCATGCACTTGTAAAATCGGGTTCTGGGATGATTATGGGGTATTCTGTATTAACTTCTAAACATTATTTTATTTATTTTGTAAAGATTTTCTTTTACTAGCTAAATTGAAGGAAAAGCATAGTTTTAACAATTATTTAAATGAGAATTTAATTAAGTATTTATGGTTGGCTTGCCTGACAGCGGTGTCCGACGCCATCACGACCCTTAGTGGACTTTAGGTCGCGACAATACTAGAGTACATACTAATAGTACATGTATGAACCAAGAAAACACTAGACTAACTAACCTACTACCCTAATCCCCGACCTCCACACCTTCCTATCAAGGGTTATGCTCTCGGTCAGTTGGAGCTACGCCATGTCTTACCGAATCACCTCTCCCCAATATTTCTTCGGCCTACCTCTAACCCTCCTTAGTCCCTTTAATGCAATCCTTTCACATCTCTTTACCGAGGCAGATGTTCTTCTCCTCCTCACATGTCCAACCATGTAAGCATCGCTTCCCACATCTTGTCCTCAATACGGGCCACATCCACCTTGTCCTTAATAACTTCATTCCTAATCATATCTAACATGGTGTGCCGCACATTCATCTCAATATCCTCATCTCTATTACCCTAATCTTTTAGACATGAGAGCTCTTGACTGGCCAACACTCAACCCCATAAAACATAGTTGGTTTGACCACCACTCTGTTGAACTTACCTTTAAGTTTTGCGGTACATTTTTATCATACAAAATACCCGAAGTAAGTCTCCATTTCATCCATCCCGCCCTAAAATAATGTGTGACAACTTTGTCAATCTCTCAATATCCTTGTATAATAGACCCCAAGTACTTAAAACTTCCTATCTTAGGGATGAATTGTGAATCTAGCCTCACCTTCCCTTCCACTCGCCGAGTCACACCATTGAACTTCCACTCCAAGTATTCTGTATTGGTCCTACTCAAATTAAAACCTTTAGACTCCAAGGTCTGCCTCCACACCTCTAACATCATATTAACACTGCCTCACGTCTTTTAAATCAATACAATGCCATCTGCAAATAGCATTATCACAACACCTTCCCTTGAATGTGGCGCATCAGTACATCTATTTCCAAGGCAAACAAAAAGGATGAGCGCAGACCGTTGGTGCAACCTTATCATGACTGAAAAGTGGTCTGAGTTCCCTTCTACTGTACTCACCCGAGTCTTAGCTCCATCATACATGTCCTTAATCTCCCTAATGTAGGTAATAAATTCACCTCTAGCATCCAAACATCTCCATAGAACCTCTACCGGGACTTTATCGTAAGCCTTTTCTAAGTCGATGAATACCATATGTAAGTCCCTCTTCCTCTCCCTATACCACTCCATCGATATCCTAACAAGGTGAATGGCCTGCATAGTCGAACGCTCCGGTATAAACCCAAACTGGTTCTCGAAAATAGACACACTCCTCCTTATCCTCAGTTCCACCACCCTCTCCCAAACCTTTATAGTATGACTAAGCAACTTAATACCCCAATAGTTGTTGCAATTTTAGCTATCGCCCTTGTTTTTGTACAAAGGAACTATCGTACTCCACCTCTACTCTTCACGCATCTTTTTGTCCTAAAATTAATATTAAATAACCTAGTGAGCCATTGCCCACCCTTCCCACACTATTCCAAAATTCAACCGGGATTACATTCGGTCCGGTTGCTTTTTCTCTGCTCATCTTACGTATAGCCCCATAGACCTCCTCAATTTTAATCCGCCTAAAATACTCAAAGTCACAATGACTATCAAAGAATTCCAAATCCCCCTACATAATATTCATGCCCCCTGTCATTCAACAGTCTATGAAAGTAAGTCGGCCATCTCCGAAGGATATGCCCCTCATCCAACAAAACTCCACCTTCTTCGTCCTTGATGAACTTCACTTGGTCCAAGTTGCGAGTCTTCCATTCTCTCACCTTGGCTAGCATGAACAACTTCTTATCACCGCCTATGCCCTCTATATCTTCATACAAACGACAAAATGCTGCAGTCTTAGCAACCGTAACTCCTAACTTCGCCCCCTTCTTAGCCATATATTCATCCTGTTCTCCTGCTCGTCTACGCTTCTACTAGTGACAGTTACGTCGGTTTCTTGGTTTCCACTTTTTCTTGACCTCTCCATTCCACCATTAGTCTCCTTTAACCACTAGAGTAGCCCTTCGAGACCCCTAATAACTCTCTAGCAACTTCCCTAATGCAATGCACAATCATGGTCCACATAACATTAGCGTCCCCACTACTACTCCAAGCCCCAAAGTCAACATCTTGACCCCCAACTCCTGCGCTTTGTCTTTAGACCATAGCCTGATCTTAGGTTGACCATACACCGCCCTCTTCCTCCTCTTCCTCGTGATCTCAAGGTCCATAACCTAGAGCCTATGAAGGGCTGTGGGGTTCTCATTCGGGATAACTTTGCAATTCGTGAAAAGACCTTTATCCGACTTCCTGCAAAGTAGGTAATCAATCTAGTTCTAGACCACCGAACTCTAGAAGGTTACCAAGTGTTCCACATTCTTCGGAAAACTTGAGTTAGCTATTACCAAATCAAACGCTCTAGCAAACTCCAGCAGTGAAGTTCCTCCTCCATTTCTATCTCCAAAATCAAAGTCACCATGCACATCATCATAACCCAAGAAGGCGCTCTAATATAGCTGTTGAAATCTCCTCAAATGAAAAAATTCTCAGTGTGTAGTATACAACCATGTCATCCAAATCCTCCCAGAAATGTCTTTTGACTTCTTCATCCAAGCCTGCTTGGGGTGCGTACGAACTAATTATATTCAAAGCAAATCCTCCAACAACTAGCTTAATACTCATCAACATGTCGTTCACCTTCCTAACCTCCACCTCTAGTTCCCTGAGGTCCTTATCAACCAAAATACCTACCCCGTTCCCGTCCCTCCTCTTCTAGAGTACCATAATTTAAATCCATCCACATCTCGCGCCTTAGCTCCCACCCATCTAGTTTGGACACAATCTATATTAATCTTCCTCTTTTGGAGAATCTTCGATAACTCCATAGACTTTCCAGTTAATGTTCGTATGTTCCAAGACCCAACTCTTAGCTTGACGGCTTGATGAAACCACTCCTCAAAGTGTAAGCGGACACAGTCACATGCAATATAATTAGTGGGGTCGAATCCCACAGGGAACAATATATTATATTGGCAATTAGGCAAGTAAGAGAAATACCGCTTATTATGCTAAGCCAAACACTAATAAAGGGGTTTTGACAAAATATTACAACTAATGCGAAAATGTAAACTAACCTAGAAAACAAGTAAAATGAACAATGGCTACAAGCATGGATACAAGGGAAATTACACTCAAATAACGATCCAATGCATTTCATAATTTTATAAATATGAGCGAATTTATATTAATTAGCCTCAAATAATAATTCTATATTAGCTTCTTCCGAAGACTAATAAGACTTCTTAATTGAATTATCCCTAAAATAATTAGGAGAATAAAGTATACCCGAATGTAGCTACAAGTAGTTCAATCCTATCCCTAGGTAGAATTTACAAGACGAGGGTTAATACCTCAAGTTCTTGTTAATTAATCTTTTCCAACCCCGAGTTTGCCTTTTCCATGTCTAAATTTGAAGTTAATAGGCGAGTCTTAGGGTTAGATAATCCCTTTGAAAACATTAAAGACCAAGAATAATTAAAGAAACAATTGACTCACTTCATAATTAATAAAAAAAACATTAAATACATATGCACAACAAGAGATTTAGTCCAAACTTTCACAATGACTATTTTTATAAACAAGTTTCAAGTATTGGAATAAATACTATACCCTTAGATATTCAATACAAATCAAGAAATTGAAGAAATGAGTTAAAGAGTAAGAAATTGCTCATTCAAATATTCAAATCTTTAATCCCAAAGTGTGGTGCAAGAAACTCTAGCTCCAAAGCTTGTAGAATTTGCCAAAGATTGTCAAAAATGTCTTCGAAAATGAGCTAGGTCATGTATTTTTAGGTTTGGGATCAAAACAATGTAAAATCCCAAACCTGTCCAGAACTGAAGCCCGTTGACTGCACCTGCGGACGAATTATCAAAGATGCAAAATTCTACTCGCAGATGCGAGGTTGTGGGCATTTTGATTTCTGCAGAAGCAGACATTTCACCGCAGAAGCAACACTGCAGATTTGGACTTCAAGTGCAGAAGTGGCTTTGCAGATGCAAATGGTTAAACGTAAGTGAGATCTCAGTGGAACCTTAGTAGTACTGCAAACGCATACACTTTCTCGCAAATACGAGATCACTGAATGTATTTTCACTTCTTCACTTCTTTTTTTGCTCAAATCCACTTCGTATGACTTTAACTCTCTTCGTGACTCATTGTATCTGAAATTCTAGCAATGCACATCATAAATAACCTCATATTATTATTAAAGGATACAAAAACTAAAGAAAAGAGACTAAAATAAGTGGTAAAATCGCCACTTATGAACACCCCCAACTTAAAGTTTTTGCTTGTCCTCAAGCAAATCAAAACCAAAAACTCAATGAGGCTCTACCATTTAAAACTCAATTAGTATCACTATTAGTCCCAAATCACATTCTCCAATTAAGCACAACACTTGTGGCTTTGGTTGGTACTAATAATTAGGCTACAAGCATGTGAACTTTAACCAAATTACCCCCTCATTTAAAAACTAAATCTCAAGAATGCAATGGAGTTTTAAAATAATTAAATGACAACAACCAAGCCTCAAGAAGTGACTCAAACGCACTAGTCTACTACATATGCTCAATTGACTCAATTTGAAATTTATTAATGTCATCAATCTATCATAATCCATGTGGCCTCACAAGAAAGAAAATTCCAAACTCATCATATTTACAACAACAACACAAGGGAACAAATGCACAAAGTCACCCACTCTCAACAAAGAATTTCAAGTGTCAATAAATATCATGCCACAAGCTTGCACTTATTTTAGTTCGTTGCCAATTTAAGAACATTCTATTAGAGATCTTATAAGGACTTCTTAAGCTTGTAATGTTGGCTTAGGGAAGGGTAGGATAAGCATTTGGGATACAAGTGACTACACCCTCCTTGAACAATACTCACATTTGTCTTTCTTTTTGCAATTTGCTTCTTTTAAAACCACATAACCCTTACTGACCTCTAGTTTCTAACATTGAACCACCTTGAATATCATAGCTACCCTCTAATTGTGCTTCCTCTTAAATTTTCTCAAGACTCCATTCTCTATTTATGTATATATATATATATATTGGAGATTAAGTGTCTTCACATGACACAACTTTGAGGGATTTACTTCTACACGCACTATGCATCTCCACCATTCTCCAATTGGCACCAACATCCCTAACTTAGGCTTTTAGTCTTATTCTTAACATTCAAGGAGGAATGGTTTAAAAAGAGAAAAGTATTTCATAAAAGGGATAAAGATTTGTAATGTAGTAGCCAAAGAAAAAGTTAAAGGCTCAAATGGGGTTAACTAGTGATAATATTTATGTAATGGTAGGTTCGAAAGGCTAAAGAGGCTTTTTCAAAGATAACAAAGAACCTAAGGTCATCTCTCCAACCAAACATAACTAAGATTAGCATCTAGATGATAAAAATATGCACACGATTTTTTGTTTATTTATAAACACTAATATATATGGCACATGACCTAATCAACATGGATCAATTTCACCTCTTAATAAGAACAACTACAACAATATCATGCTAAGTAATGGTCAGAGAGTCACAAAATGAGCCAAAAGTTATCATAAAAATCATTCTTCCCCATGCAACTTACTTTTTTGATTTAAAACATAAAATTTTGGAGGGTTATTCTAAATTCACAAATCACATGAAAGAGACTAATTTTATTAGTAACAAACAATCCAAAAGTTTTCACATAAATACACAAGATTAATTCCCTTAAGAAAGTCTTCACGCCATCTACTATAGGAAAAAGTCATCTAGGTCAAAAGAAAATATTCCTCAGGAAAGAACCGTGGCATAAAGACAACCCACGAAGATTTATTGAAAAGTATATTACTACTAAAGAAATATAAATAAAATAAATATATCCTACACTAGAAACTACTAAAGAAAATAAAATAAAATAATAAAAGCGACTAATCCACAACTATATCACCAATCATAAAATAAATCCCGCAAGGGCACATGATCATTCACAATAGTAAAACAAGCCCGACAAGGGAACACAATATTCATACAAAATTATAAGCTTGGAAAGGGAAAAAGTCAAGCATAGATGTACAAATAAAGTGTACTCCCTACTTCTACCCCAACTAAAAATAATATAGTGACCTCACTGCATAATATCATAATAAAATAAGAGTAGTTTGAGGGTTTTCCTGAAGTCTACATCAGACTAGAAGACTAAGAGAAAATGTTTATCACTGCTATGTAGAACTCTAGGACTCATCACCACCTGCATCATCAATGTAATCCGACAAAAAAAATACTCCTCACTGTCATCCTCATCTTCAACCTGTATCTTCTTGTTCGGCTCCCCCAATTTGAAAATGGCCTTGATGCCTCTCCTCTTTATCATGAATTATCCATTCTTCTTGTTTTTATTTTTCTCAGCTGTGAAGTCTTCCCGAAGATCGACATGTGCCTTGGCCATCTTCCCATATGTTGCCTCAAGCCTGCTAATTGAAGCTGCTAACTTCTCATGAGACTCTACCTATTTTTTCTGAGCTTCCAAGTAGGTCTTCATTTCTTCTTTAGTATTGTAGTTAGGCATAAGCTGATAGTAAAAGGGTCCACTAGGGATCTGTGACACTAAGTCAGAAATGGAGTCAAGCTGGGAATTAAGCAACCCAAATGCGACCTCGGACTGAGTCGTCTAGGAGGATTCTTTACTGGCAACTGTGGTGTTATTACTCTTCTTGCTTTTGACTGCACTACCCTCTCCTATAACTCTCAAAGGATTCAAGGGTTTTTCGGCCAATATCCAACGATCGGTGATGTGCACATCATTTCTGCCCGCTGGCACAACTCTGTGATCAGAGAAGGAAACATCAAG